AAGCCAGGTTTTTGCTCGCTTATAATGCTCTTCTTTGCTTTTAGCAATCTTAAAGCACTTTCGCTCTTGCTTTTAGCTAAAAAGCTAGCGAGACATTTAGCGGTGTAATTCGAATCGTTAAAGTCTATTAGATCGTCTCGTAAAGTAATTGTTTTCGATATAAACGTATTTATAAAGTCTTTAATTAGAGTTGAAGCTCTTAACGTTTATATATCGCTCGGATTAAATAAAGTCGCATTCTTTAAGCTTTGACTAGATCTTTTTAGCTTAACTTTTATAAGGTCTAACGGCTGCTTACTTCTTATATCAATTGCATTCGTTTCTTTTAAACGATCTTCTGCAACGTTCTTTATATTAAACAAAGCGTCTTTTATTTAATTAAAGTCTTTAATATCTTTTAATTTAATAACGATGCTCTTGATCTTGCTAATCGATTAGCCGATCGATTTTTCTTCGTCTTTAATGTGACGACACGCCAGGTCTCCTGGACGCACCTTATATGCGCTAAGCTACTTCCCTCCTTTTTTCTTTCGTATTTTTCGTATTCTTTTATTCTCCGCTTTTGACTTATAAATTATAGTTTACGAGTCTTTAGCGCTTTTACTTTCGTGTATATAGACTTTAGCTACCTTCGATTTTTACACTCGGTAGTTGTTGATTCTAAGTTATTACTTTAAGATTCTTTTAAGCTCTTATATAAACCTCCGCGCTCTCGTGAGTTCTTTTAAATAATCGCTTAAGGTCGTTATATTATTAATAACTACCGCACTCCGCCGGGAACGGCTTTAATAATATTCTTTTTTAGAATTCCTTAGTAGTTAAACGTTAAAACACTTAAGCGACTTTAACGGTTACGAAAAAGCTTATTTCAAGTATAACTTGAAAGATAGCACTTATATAATACAGCAACTTTCGCTTCGCGAGCAAAATCTTTCGCATACTTTTTAAAGCTGCTTTAGCAGCTCTTTTCTTTTTTACGGCTTAACTAATAATTCTTTTTACTTAAGAAGAAGCTATTAGTAAGCAAGACGATAAAGATGATCTTTTAGCTTTTATTAACTTCGAAGAAGCTTTGACTTAATACTAAGCTCTTTTTTAATCTTAACGAGAAGCCGCTAAGCTTAAGAAGCTTTTCGCAAACATAAAAACCCGTAACGAAGAACTCGATAAGAGCGCTAACGAGTAAAAAACTCTCGTTAAAAAGGCTAAAAAAAAGGCTCGTCGAGCTCGAAAGGAACTAGACTAGTTCTAAGCGGTCTTGCTAATTACGGAACGCTCGTCAAAGCTTCTTTAAGTCTCTTTCGAAGATAACTTTAAAAGCAAAAAGCTATATAAGCTTTCGGTCTTTTAGACTATTCTTTTTATTTATAGAATCGCTAACCTTCGCCGCTTTTTCGCCGACGACGATAAACCACTTTCTCTTTATAAGCTAACTAACTCTTGTATTCTAGCTAAGTTTAACACTTTTAAAGCTTTTTCTTTAGCTTTTTAAGGTCGAGCTCGTATCGAGCAGATCTTTAACTTTAAATAGAAGCTTTTAAACGGTGTAAGCTACCGCGCACGCTATTAGCAAGCCCGCGTCTTCGATAACTTAAAAGCTTTCGAAAAATACTTTTTTATAAAACGCTAACGTAAGAACTACGTTTTCGATCAAACCGAAAGAATAGCTTACTTGTTCTTAGCTTTTTTGATTATAGATCGTAGCAATTTCGTAATCGCTTCGGAACTCGTTTAGATCGCTTTCGAGTTTTTAAACGATTTCGCTAAAAAAGCTAAAACGTCAATTAAGTTCGAAAAACTTTATATAAAGCTTAACTAGCAATTCTAAGACTTTTATTTTGTTTTTTCGAAGCTTGCTATTACCGTTAAAATCAAGGACGAAGACCGATTACGTAAGGCTTTGCGTTCTAAGATTATTAAAACGCTGCGCGACCAGCTTTATTTAGAATTTGCTAAGACTATAATCTTTAAGGACTTTTAAACCGCCGTTTAGCAGTTAGCTGCTAGCTAATACGCGTTTGCAAAGCTTTACGATGCTTTATAAGTTAAGTATAATACTCAATTCGCAAAGAACTTTTATAATAAAGCTCGTAACGAATCTCGCTCGGCTTAAAAAGCAGCGGTCAAGTAAATCATTTATTACGAGAACCGCTAAAGTAGCTCAACTTTCGTTTCTTTTTTTACTTTTTAGCGCTAAACTTTTAATAGCTTTAGCGCTAATGCAGATCGATTTAATCGATTTAATAAATTCTTTTTTTTCGAAAACGCTTTTAAGCTAACGATTAAAACCTTTAAATCGTCTCGTAAGGATTCGAATACGCCGAAGCTCTTTCGCTATTATTCAGTTAACGAAATAAAATATAGCGCTAGACTTGAATACAGCTTTTATTCGGATAACTCGGACGATAAGTTTTATTCTGATGCTTTTAAAGATCATTAAGAGCTCTTTCTTGCTAACTCCGACGCTTTTAATAAAAGAAACGTCGAAGCTTAAGCAAAGCTTCTTTCTTAAGCTAGCTTCGAGATATACGATACTTTAACCTTACGAAGCTCTTTAATAGTAAAGCTATAATTATACTCGTCACCTTTATTAAGAATAGCTTTTCGTATAAAGTATTTGCTTTGCTCGATTCAAAAGCTAATAAGTACGCGCTGATTAACTTAACGCTATTTAAATCGCTTTCTTTTTTTCTTAAACTTTTGATTTAACTTTTCTCGACTTTATTCTTTGTTAAGTTATACAATAGAGCTCGTAAAGCTATTATTGTGGAGGGGAAGAGCTCCGATATATACTTAACGTCAAATCAAGAGATGTATATGAATATAGCTATAATAGAATCGTAAGTGAATAAAAAGAGAAAAAGAAGACGATCGAAAGACACTCGAATGTATGCTATAAGTACGTGTATTGTATTGTATAATAATGTGTTGCTAGTTTAAGAAAGAACTAATTACTCGTTTATATAAAAGCTTACACGTAATCTAATTACGTAGCTTAACTACGTGCTTAGCAAAGCTAAAGCATGCAGCGCACTTACGTAACAAAAGTGCTTAGCATTAGTATTATATATATAAACAAAACAAATACAAAGCCTTAACTTTATTATATACGTTTTTTTTTCGAATCAGACTCGCTTTCGAGTCATTTCTTATCAAAGTAGTAAGGTTGGGTTTGCAAGACGAGCATATAGCCGAATTGCATAATTGTAATACGGTTCTAAAATACTACTTAATAATGCATCGCCGGATCGGTGTTAATACGAAGCGTATATGATATAATAAAGAAGATAAAAATAACAACGAAAATGCAAGATAATCCTTCGAGTCTAACTCTTTTTTATATCTTTTATAGCTTTTTTATTTAATTATAAAAACAATATCAACTCGAGCGTTAGTATTGTTATTAAAACAAGCGTGCGCCGGTTTAAGCGGTTAAGTGATAACGCACTGCCGAATCGGTAATAGCGCAAGGCTTAAAACGGTAACGTAATAAAGAAAACAAAAGCGGCAATATATACTCGAGGTCTTGTTATAAATAGTTAACCTTTTTCTTATATCAACTTTATACTTTTTTATCTTCTTTTTAATATTACTATTTACTAACTTCATTTTTTACTATTATGTTATCGATCTGCTTTCGATGCGTAAGTCACGCAAGTAAAATTATCGATAATGCTACGAGTCGATGCATCTTCTCCGTCGATAAATCTATTAAATATAAGCGTTGCCGTATTATTAAGTCAACTTGCATTTTCGTACGTTATCTTACTTTCCGTCTCACACTCGTTTTGACTCCGATTTAATAGTTCTTTGTAAAAGTCGTTAATACTAGCATAATCTTGATAGATGCGATAATAATTATAAATAATAAAACTAAAACGACCGACGACGTTTTTCGTAAAAGTATAATTGCAAATAACCTTTTTATAAAGACTCGCTATGCTTTTGCTTTTCGTATTAATAATGCTTCTTTTTCTTTTCGAGCTCGTATCGCCGCTGCTTTTCTTGCCGCCGCTAATGCTAGAAGTCTTTTAGCTAGCTTAAGTCTCGTCTTAGCGTTACGCTTATTTGCCGCCGCTATTACCGCTGATCTAGCTTCGCTAGACTTGCTGCGTTAGATTTTAGCTGCAATAGATCGGAACAATACTTTGCTAAGTAACTTCTTTAGTTGCGTAAGTGTATATTGCAAACCTTTTATAATTCTTTTCCGATTTAATTATAATAAATTATCGAAAAGTCTTCGTCTTTTTTATCTTTATTTTCGAAATCGCTAGTACTCTTTTAAGCAAAAAGGCTCCGCCGAAATGCTCGCTAAGCTTTTAATCGCGGCAATACCGGTGGTTCTTTTTCGCGAAGTTCTAATCGTAGCAATACTTATAGTTTTACGAAGAGTTCGAGTCGTAGCAATATCGGTAAGACTTCGAGAGGTAAGAGTAATGCTTAAAGTACTGCGAAAGGCTTTCGCATTATTCTACTTAGCCTTAAGTTGTAAAGTCGAAAAGGTTTTTGTTGGATCGCCGGTAGCGATCTCTCGTAATATTCGTAAAATTCGTGACGTCGTCAAAGTACTTGCAATTGCAAAACACTCGGTGGTAAAATACTCAATTGTTGCTTGTTTTTCTTGTTTTATTGTTCTGCTCTAAGAAAGCTGACTCCTTCTATACAATAGGAAGGAGTCACGTGTACTAGCTAAATACTAGGTTTACAAGCAGGTTGGGGGGCCCCTTGACCTGTGACAGGCTAAGCGAGGCATGCCTAGTGGCCCGTGAACCTTGGTTCACGAGTAAGCTCCCCCCAACTACTATTTACTAGCTAAGGTCGATATAAATGAACCGACACCGGCAAAACTTTCTTTGGCAAACAGTGCTTTGCCAACTATTATATCGACCGAAAAAGAAGGAAGGTAGTAAATAAATAAAAAACAACAAAAATTCAAACGCAAGGAACAAAGAAAAAAATTCTTCTTGAAACAAGCCCCCCCTTTTCCTTTCAAAAACCCGTCACCTCGCGAAGTGCTCACAGTGCTCACCTCCGTATTGGCAGCCTTGAATAAAACACTCGTACTCGTCCTCAAGGTTGTCGGAATCAGCCTTGCTTGAGGTTTGAGAGGAGTGCTGAGGAGAGTGCTGAGAGGAATGCTGAGAGGAGTGCTGAAGAGAGTGCTGAGAGGAGTGCTGAGACTGATCAAATGGCTCGCTAGAGCTCGCGTAAGCTCTGTTTGCCTTGGAAGGTCGATAGCTCTCACTCTTAAGAGGTTGAATGCTCTCAGTTGCAAAACCAATTGCTCGGCGAATATCAGCAACTGCGGCGGTAGAGGTAAACGCAGGGTTCATTCGTGCAATAGTAGTCTCTGGCACGTTTTTACAAGCTGAATACAGCTTGTCAGCGAGACTCCTATCGTCCCTCAGACCTGGTCGTAGCGAGCTCTGAATGCCCCTGAGCTCTTTAGCGAGCTTCTCAAAGCACTCGCTAAGCGAGGTCCCTGGATTCTCTTTTCTGACCAATTCCAGCGAAATTTGCTCCCAGCGGTCGTATTTTGCTTGCCGCCGGTGGTCAGTCTCAAAATGGTCCCTTACCGCAATAGCGTTTGCTTTGAAAGTCGGAAGCCTGGCCTTGATGACGTGATTATAATAAAAGGTTATAGCTTCTCTTGTAAGCATAATCGGGAACGCCGCCAAGTAGTCGTCGGAGGTCAAACCGTATCGACTTGCTTGGTTAGCAAAAATCCTTAATTGGGTCCTGAAGTCATCGTCGGGTCCTGAATACTTCAGCTCCTTAGGGAAGCTCCTTGCGAACAAGGCCAATTCTTTCGCCCTCGGGTATGGGTCCGCCGTTCCGAGCTCAGGAAAATCGTCGTCGTTAGGGGCTGGGGTGCCGTAGGTGTGCCTGGCTAGCACTCGGGTCGAAAAAGGGGTGCTGGTAAGGGGTCGGTTTGGCCCAGGTCCGCCGGGGGGCTCGTATCCTCGTCCAGGGTCCCTTGGCGGCTCATTTCCGAATCCAGGGTCCCTTGGAGGTCCGTTTTCCCCTCTCTTCGTCGGGCCACCGTGTCCTCCTCCTCTTCCCCCGTGCCCATTCCACTCGCTTCCCCTTTTGTTCCCTCTTTCTGGATCACCGTCCGAGCCGTCAGGATCGTTAGGGTTGCTAGCAAGAGCTTGCTCGTATTCCTGGGCTCGGTCTTGGCGGTATCCATTGCCCTGGTGAGAGTAAAAATTGCCCGGAATCTCCTCAACCTTCAAGGGCTCGTCGTACTCTTTAGCGTGTTCCCTCGGTGATGGAATCGGTGGCTGAAGTAGTAAAGGAACGGGAGAAGGAAGTGAATCGCGAGAACTTCGCCTTGATGATTGCCTTGCTGCTTTGAGCTCTTCTTTGTGCCTTGTAGCCTCCTCGATGCTCTCCTTACGCTTTTGCGCGTCCCTCGTAATTGTTAGGTTTCGGAGGTCGTTGAGGTCTCGCGCAATTGCCTCTTTTTGGCGTCGAAGCTCTTCGTACTCTTCGCGGAGTGATTGGCGAAGCGAATTTGCACTTAGAGGTAGAGGTGAAGGTAGAGCTTCGTCGATGATTTTAGTGAGACGAATAAGGCTTGACTGATTAGGAAACCTCTCGACCTGCTTCCTTTGAATTTTAGCGACTTCTTTAGTTTGTCGATTTAAGCGGGCGATTGTAATATCGTTCCACTTAGAATCAAATCCCTCGATTGCTGCTTGCTGCGCTCGCTGCTCTTCCTAGGTCCATTGGTGCTCCTTCTCCATTTGTATAATTGAGGCTAGTCCATTGGCGTAGCCTTTTTGCCTTGGGAGGCACCAAACTCCCTTAGACATTAAGTGATCCCTTAGTTTAATAAGCAAGGTAAACTTGCTTCCTCGGCCGTGTGCTTGTTTAGCGGCCAAAAAGAACTCGTCCGCGCCTTATCTAGCAAACGCGTGTCGGAATAAAGACCAAAGCTCGTGGTCTTTTAATCCCTCACTCTTTATGTCCAGGAAGTCCTCGATAATTAATCTAGCCCTTGTATGACTTTCTGGCTTCGAATACGGTAGTGAATCGAGGTCAAAATCGAGGTCCGACGCGTAATTATCGAGGTCCGGCGCGTCTCCGTCTGGTCTTTCGAAGGTATTCCGAGTGCCTGGGTCGTTCGGTAGCATTGAGGGAGGTTCCGCGGGTCTCGAAAGGGGATTCGTAAATTGTGTAGAGATTCGGGGTGCTTGAATCTCTGTTGCTTGAGCTCTTGCTGACGTTCCAGAAGCTCTTTGTTTGCCTCGAGGGTCGATTGATTGCATATTGCTTGGCTGAGGCGTAGTATTGTATGCTGTGTGTAGCTGGCGTGGCTCTACAGCGTTGATGATATTGTTGTATTGCTGTGTGTAGCTAGCGTGGCTCTACAGCGTTGATAGGTTGTATATAAGTGACTTGGTTCGGAATCACTCTTCCGTAGTAGGTGAGGTTAAGGCGGTGGTATAAGAAAGCGACTTGGTACGGAATCGCTCTTCCGTTGTAAGGGAAAGGTATCGAGGTGTGAGAAAGCGACTTGGTACGGAATCGCTCTTCCGTTGTAAAGGAAAGGTATCGTAGTAAGAGGTAAGTGATTTTCACTGCGGTTGCAGGCTTCTTATAGCGCAAACTCACTACTTCTACACTCTTCGAGTAAGTAGAAGTAAAGTCCTAACTCTTCGATCGATCTTAGCTTCTCTGTGATTGAGTAACGCTTTCGTTGGCGATTAAACAATCACTGATCAGTGTTGGATCGCCGGTAGCGATCTCTCGTAATATTCGTAAAATTCGTGACGTCGTCAAAGTACTTGCAATTGCAAAACACTCGGTGGTAAAATACTCAATTGTTGCTTGTTTTTCTTGTTTTATTGTTCTGCTCTAAGAAAGCTGACTCCTTCTATACAATAGGAAGGAGTCACGTGTACTAGCTAAATACTAGGTTTACAAGCAGGTTGGGGGGCCCCTTGACCTGTGACAGGCTAAGCGAGGCATGCCTAGTGGCCCGTGAACCTTGGTTCACGAGTAAGCTCCCCCCAACTACTATTTACTAGCTAAGGTCGATATAAATGAACCGACAGTTTTTATCGCGTCTCGGTAAGTTGTTAAATAATTAATACAATAGATTTTTCGTATGCTTTTCTTAATTAGCTTCCGAGTAAGGTCCGCTTTGTATATATAATATACTCGTATATAATAAATCGAAAGCATATAAGTATAATAACGTAAAGCTTTTTAATATAAAGAAAGAAATAAAAAAAGTGTAAGAAAAAAGAAAACAAAGAAAACTAAACTCAAATAAAAAAAAAATCAAAAAATCAAATCTAAACTCGTCTTTTCTTTACGTATAGTCATGCTTTCATAACTTAATCATTCTTTTTATCACTGCTTATAAAGACTCTTGCGTATTAGCTCCGTTGCTCTTCCGTAAGGCTAAGTAATCGAATGACAAATCTATCTAAGCGCTTGATTTAAAAGCCGGACTCGGCCACTTTATTTAATAAAAGTTATTTTAAAGATCTTTTTATTTAAAGCTTAAAGCGAAGTAGTATCGCTTCGAGAGTGTATCGCACGTAAAACTTCTTTAATCGATTGCCGGTAAATATTCTATTTAGCAAAGCTTCGTCTTCTTTTAGCTCTTTTAACTTATAGTATCTTTTTGTATTTACCGACGAAATTTAATAAAAGCTAAGCTATCGAAAATCTAGCTTCTTAACGTTAAACATATCTATTTTACGTATCGAATCGTGCTTAAAGATTAAGTCACTTACTTTTAAGGATTTGATTCGGAAGTTTTTTTTATTATTAAAAGCATCTTTTCTTTTTTAACGGTAGCAGGTTTTCTTAAGTATAGCTTTCGTAGCATCTTCGTCTCGCATCCGGAACTAGCGTGCTTTTAACTCGATAAGTTTAATACAATTAATTATTAGCTTTTAAAATAACGTAACTTAAGATTAGATTCGAATCTTAATCGGAAGCATTGCTTTTTTGCCGTATATTATATAAAAGAAAGTAAATCTAGTAAAAGTATGCACCGAAATGCGGTCGGCGAATAAGACGGTTAACAATTGCGCAATTTAATCGGTGCTCTTAAGCTTATTTAACGCGTCTTTAATTAGTCCGTAGCCGCGTTCTACTATTCCGTTCGCTTAAGAGTAGTATGCTAAGATTACGACTCGATTGATTCTTTAATTATTAAGTAAATCGATTACTTTTTTTTTAAACTCCGAACTTCCGTCGATTATTAATTAAAAGAAAATCTTATAGCGGCAAATGATATCTTTTTAAATAAACTTAACTACCGAAAGCGAGTCTCGAGTCCGAATCGCTTTCGCTTCGACTTATCTATTTATATCGTCTTTAGCAACAACTAAGTAGCTTTTGTTATTACGTATAAATAGATAAGTAATATCGATAGCTTAACGTTTTATTAAGCTATTAGATCGGGTAAGATGCAATAGCTCTTCGAGCTTATTAGCTGCTCGATGCTAGCATTTTTTATAAGTCTTAACGAATCGTTTGACGTTTGTATAGCATTTATTTTAAAAGTAGCGTTAAGAAATACGGTAGTAAGTTGATTTACGGCTTTTATAATTATTCTTATCGTAATAAGCCGTAATAATATTTATTTTAATCGAAAGTTTGTCGACTATTAATCGAAGAAGAAGACTTTTCGTCGAGAGTTTTTAAAGTTTTTTATCGTTTACTTTATACTTAATAACTTTTTTTTTAAATTTACAGCATTCTACTTTATTTAAGTTTTTAAGTCTTCGTAAAGTCGTTAAGAAAGTAGCTATCCGAATTGATTTCGAAAAGTATTCGATTAAGTTCAAAAGACTTTCGTAATCGTAGTCGTCGTTAGACTCGTTTAAGTTTGTATTTTCCGCTTCTTTCGAACGTTAAAATATATCTTTAAGAATAGATTAACGAATATCTATTAAAAGGTCCGTCGAAGGTTCTTTGAAGCCGTCTCGAGCTTTAATAAGTTTTAAGTCGGTTAGCAAACTATTATCGAACTTATTTTTATCTTTTTCGCTTAAATCATCGAAGTGCTATAGCCGTCTCGATAATGCATTAGCAACGGTATGATTTTTATTAAAGACATATCGGATTTTAAAGTCGAAAAGATTAATTTAAGCTAGCTAGCGTATAATTAAAACCGAAAGTATATCGATAATTCTTCGTCGAAGCTAAGCAACGAGCACTTTAGCGTTAGTCTTAAAGATAAAATGCATTTCGATAATTTATAATTTAAGTTTCTTAAAGACCTTAAGTACTTCGCGGCACTTTCGTTTAATAGCGTCGTAGTTCCGTTTTGCTTCCGTTTAAGCTTCGAACTCGTACCGAGCCGGCTGCACTTTGCTAAAAGTAGTCTCGCGTTAGCCGATATATCTTTTTTATCTTTTTAAGCTAACGTCCGTTTTTATTATTATTTTTTTATTTTAATTCTCGTAGTCGATCTTAATTAAAACCGGAGCTATCGTTAAAGCATTTTATAATATTCGTATAGCTTTCGAATGCGCTTCGGTCTATTGCTAATTTATATCTTTTTTTATAAAGTTGTAAAAAAAGTCAATAATATATGCGAATCTTTTAATTTAAATGCGAAAGTAAAAGCAAAAGCTTAAAAATCTTTTAACTTTAATAACGTTTTCGAAAGTTTTTTAATTATTAATCTTAATAACTTTATCCGTAACGAGTTCTCGACTTTTCGAATTGCATACGAATCTTATTATATTCATTTTATCTTAACAGAACTATAACTTTTCTTCGATTATAGCATTAGCGCGTTTAATCCGTTTTAAAGTCTTATCGATGTTCTAAATATATTCGAGCACGAATCGGCGTATATTCGAAAGTGCTTCTTCGTCGGAATAGTCCGTTTATGATCTTTTTATTTTAATATCGTCGATAAATAACATAAAGACTTTAAGTTGCAAAGGCTTTAAAATAAGATTAATTATTCGGACGAATTAAGCTATCGAGTTCGTAGCACTTTACGAAAAGATAGTGCATTAGAAAAAACTTAGCGATATAAAAAAAGCGGTAAAGTTTTTATTCGATTAATAAAGTGTTTATTAATTATAGCTCGAATAAAAGTCGACTAAGCTAGCTATTTAACAACTAAAAAACTCTTTAGCAAATTCATTTATAATTAAAGGTAGATTAACGTTTCTCCGTGTAATTGCATTAAGTAGAGTTGCTAAGTTAATAAGTCGGTACTAGCCCGACTGCTTTTTAGTTATTAAGAACCATTGATTCCGGTACGGTCTTTCGCAATACTTTAAAACTCTTTTATTAAGCTTGTCTTAAAGCATTTTAATAACAATAAGCTATAAAGCTTTCGAACACGAGTAGTTAAGAGCTTGTTAAGCTATGTATAAGATAGTTTTAAGCTTAATCGGTAATGATACGTCGTCGTAAAACTTACTATACTTTTACTAAGCGAATGCGATTGATTTTTTTTTGCTTAGTATTATCTTTTTAAATAAATCCTTTTCTTTAAGCCGTAAAGTATCATCGATATTTAAGTTCGCTATGCGTTCGAGTATAATTCGAAAGCTTTTCGATATATCGGCAATGCGCGGAAAGAAGTATTGCTTGTATTCTCTTACTTGCTTTTATAGCGTATCTTTAGCTTTTAATAGCTTATACTAATCAACTTTACTACTTAGTATTGCTCTTACGCCGTTTGCTTTGTCAATTAGCTTAATCTTTTTATTTTTAATCTTATATATATCGAATACTTTAGCCGAATCCGAAGAGATCTTTTTTCGAGTCCGATAAAGTGTCGAATTCTAATAATCGATATAATCGTAGCAGCGGGTTATAAGAGTATCGGTGCTAACGGCATTTATTTAACAAGTTATTAAAAGATCGCATTCCGTAAAAGCAAAAACATCGATAAATTGCTTTTAAATAATAAAGTCGTTTTTTTTTTAATGCTGCAACGTTTCGCTTTCGAAATTAAGCGAAAAGCAAAAAGCTTTTAATGTACCGACTTTAACGCTTTTAACGAGGCCGATCATTAGTTTTCCGAGTCGTTACTGCTATTATTTAAAGACTTATCGTAGTAAATAAAGCTAATACTTTGCTCTTTTAAGCGATCGACGGCTTCGTCGTATTAATTCGTTTTATCGCTTACTTTAGCTTGAGTAACTTAGCTCGTAAACGGATTAATAACTATTGCAATAACAAGGCTACTTTTATAGTTTAAAAAGTATCGAAGACCGATTTTCGCTTTGCGTATAAAAAAGTAATTAAGTATAAGTCGAAACCTTAGCGAATCTAT